TATTATTAATATTATCATTATTACCTTTATTACCTTCAGTCTAGGTATCATTATCATCATCATTTTTATTAATATTTCTATTTTTTTTTACATTTTTGTTATCATTATCATTGTTATCACTGATATCTTTGTTATAATCATTATCACTCGTCAGGATTAATGGAACGAATATACAGCTGTTCTTAGAAAATACACAGCTATAACAAATGTACCGAAACATGCCGAATAAGTGAAGTTTAAAGTTGCCGAATAAATGCAGTTATCGAAGTTATCGAATATGTGAAGTTTGAAGTTGCAGATTTGATGAAGTACGAAGTTGCCGAATATGTGAAGTCTGAAGATGCCGAATAACTGAAGTTTGAAGTTGCCAAATAAGTGAAGTCTGAAGTTGCCGATTATGTGAACTTTGAAATCGGCGAATAAGTGAAGGTTGAAGTTTCAAATATGTGAAGTTTAAAAATACCGAAAACGTAAAAATCGAAGTAGCTGAATAAGTAAAGCTTGAAGGTGTCGAATAAGTGAAGTTCAAAGTTGCCGAATAAGTGAAGTTCAAAGTTGCCGAATAAATGAAGTTCAAAGTTTCCGAACAATTGAAAATGCGGCATGTAGCGGTTCAAAGTTATGATGCAATAAGATGTATAAAGGATTTGTCTTATAAATCCTCTCCTTCGTTCTCTGTTTGCATCCCAGAATCCGCTTAATATTCTCTCAAAGGAAGGGAAGGATAATTGAGAAAGATAAAATCATATACATGTGTGTATACAAATAATGGTCCTCCTCTCTCTCTCTCTCCTGCTCTCTCGCTGTCTCGCGGCTGTTTTCTGCTCTGCTCTCTCTCTTCCTGCGTGCTCTCTCTCTCTCAGTCTCTCATCTCGTACTCTCAGTCTTTATCTTCTCTCTCTTCGTGTCATCGCATGTTTCTTTCTCATCGTCTCGTTTCTCTCTCTCTCTCTCTCTGCTACTCTTCGTATCCTTCTCTCTCTGCTGCTCTCATCTCTGGCGTCTCATTGCTCCTGACATCTCTCTGCTCGAGGATCATCTCTCTCTGCTCTCTCTCCGCTGTCTGGGCGGGCATTTCTCTCTGCTGCTCTCTCTCTCTGCTCTTCTCTCTGCTCTTCATCTCTCTCGTGCTCTGCGATCTCTCTCTCTCTCTCATCTCTCGTCTCCCTCCTCTCCCCTCTTCGTCCTCTGCCCAGATCGCATCTCTCTGCATCTCTCTGCTGCGTGCTCGGATCTGCTCTCTAACTCTCTGCTCTCATCGTCTCTCTCAGTGCTCTCTCTTTTGCCTGTCTCAGCTTTGCTCTCTGCTCTCTCTGCTCTCTCTCATCTGCATCTTCTCTGCGCGTCTCGGCAGTTTCTCTCATCTCTCTGCTCTCTCTCTCTCTCGTCTCTCTTCTCTATCTCTCTTCTCTCCGTCATCTCTGCTCTCTCCTCTCCTCTCTGCTCCAATCTCTGCTGCTCTCTCTCTGCTCTGCTCTCTCTATCTCTCTTCTCTCTCTCTCCTCTATCTCTCTCTCTCTCTGCTCTCTCTCGTCTGTCTCTTCTCTCTCATCTCGTCTCTCTCTCTCTCTCTCTGTCTCTCTCTCTCCTCTCTTCCTCTCTCTGCTCTCTTCTGCTTCTCTCTCTCTTAATCTCTGGTCCGCACATCATTCATCATTATCTTTATTTTAAGGTTTATCATCATTGTCTTTGGTATTTTCATTCTCACCACGGCTGTTATCATCATCATTTCCATCGCCATCAACATCGTCATCACTAATGCAGTTTTTTTACAAGAACCAGATCCTGATCAAATCGACCTTGCCTTATCTTCAATGGCTCTCCAGATCGATTAGCTAATGGCGGGGGTGAGAGAGAGGAGGGTAGAGAGAGAGAAAGGAGAGAGAGAGAGGGTGGGGGGGAAGAGAGAGAGAGAAGAGAGTGGGGGGGAGGAGAGAGGGAAGGGGGAGGTAGAAGAGAAAGAGAGAGAGAGAGGTGGGGGGAGGGAAGAGAGGGGGAGGGAGAGAAAGAGAAAGAGAGAGAGAGGGAGGAGAGAGAGAGAGGAGAGAGAGAGAGAGAGAGAGGAAGAAGAGAGAGAGAGAGAGGAGGGGAAAGAGAAAGAAAAGCGAAAGGGAAGAGAGAGAGAAAGAGTATAGAGAACGAGAGGATGATTGGATTCATAAACAGCTTATAAACTTTTTTATCTTTTACATCATATCTTGTGCTATTTTACAACAGATTTATACAATGTTTGTAAAAGAAGTTATTTTATACTTTATTTTCTTAATCGTATCTTAAAACTATGTATAAACTGCATGTAATATATGTATTTTATACGAAATAGAGTTTATTACCATTATCATTATTATTATTATATTGTAATAACTATCGTGCTGTATTATAATGCATTGTGTTATATTGCACTGCATTTTTATATCGTATTATCATACTGTAATGTATTCTATTGTGCTGCTTCATATTGCGTTGCATACATACTGTATTATAATGTATTCCAATATATTCCATCATATTGTAAACGAATTAAATAACGAAAACCAAAAATGTATTCTTTGGCTGAAGATGAGAAATGGAGTCTGCAAAGCCATTGACTTAATTGGCTGCTTCGGCTATTGTCTGTCTGTTTACCTTCGTTGACTGAATTTACATATTGCAAAATGATGGAAGGTCTGTAAAGGGTTATATCTGTACGAATACGTATATGTTCGTATACATGCAAATACACATGCATCCACGCGCATACGCACACACGCATACGCACGCACGCCCACACACAAAACATATATACATTCATACACCAGCAATACACACACACACGCACACACACGCACACACACACGCACACAACATACATACATACACTCCTACACCTGCAAACACACACACACACACACACACACAGCACCACACCTACTACACCACTAACGAGATTAACAGAAAGACACAGATAAAAAGGGAACCACAGATAAAAGATAACACAGAAAAGGGAATAAACATAAGCATAATAATTCCAAGAGGAAGGACAGAAAAGAAAGAAGGATAGATAAGAAGAGAATCACAGAGAAAGGATAGAATAAAAGAGAATAGATAAAAGCCAAAGATGGAAAAAAGGAAATCACAAACAAGAGACAAAGTGTAAGAGAATAAGAGAGAAAGTATCGTATCTGGTAAAAAAAATAAAAAAATAAAAAAAATGTAAAAGTCATGTTGCGTTTTCTTTGTGTTGTTGGTCTTGTTTTTTTATTTAATTTATTTTTTATTTGGAAGACTTCTTTTTTATTTTCAGTGTCTGTTTACCCCTGTCTGTGTGACTTTCTTTGTCTATGTGTGTCTGTGTGTTATTTTTCTTCTTTGTCTCTTGTCTCCTATTCTATCTCTGTCTCTCTCTTCTCTCTCTCTCTCTCTCCTCTCTCTTCTCTCTCTCTCCTCTCTCGCTCTCTCTGCTCTCCTCTCCTCTCCTGCCTCTCCTCTCTTCTCTCTCTTCTCTCTTGTCTCCTCCTCCTCTCTCTTCTCCTCTCTCTGTCTCTTTTCTGTCTGTCTCCTTCCTCCTCTCTCTCTGCTCTCTCCTCGTTTCTCTCTCCTCTCTCCTATCTCCTCTCTTGTGCTCATCTCTCTCTCGCTCTCTGTCTCTCTCACCCCTCCTCTCTCGCTCTCTCCTGTTGTCTGTCTGTCTGTCTTGTCTGTCTCTTCTCTTCTCTCTTCTTCTCTCTCTCTCTCTCTCGTCTCTCTCTCTCTTCCACTCTCTCTCTCTCTCTCTCTCTCCTCTCCCCCCCTCTCTCTCTCTCTCGCTCCTCTCTATCTCTCTCTCTCTCTCCTCTCCTCTCTCTCTCTTCTCTCTCTTCTCTCTTTTTGATTCGTCTGTCTCTACTCTCTCTCTCTCTACTCTCTCCCTCTCTCTCTCTCCTCTCTCTCTCTCTCTCTCTCTCTCTCTCTCTCTCTCTCTCTCTCTCTCCTCTTCTCTCCTTAATTGTCTGTCTTTTTCGTTCTCTCTTTCTTCTTCCCCCTTCCCTCCCCCTGCTCTTTCTTATCTATCATTTATCTGTCTATTTCTATCTCTTTCTCTCTTCGCCCATTCTCCTCCATCTTCATACATCTATCTATCATCTATCACTCCTATCTCATCTATCTGTCTGTCTATCTATCACCTATCATCTATTTGTCTCATTTTTTCTCTCTTCCCCCTCTCTATATTCTATTATCTATCTGGGGACGACAGTTTGCTTTTTTCTGTTCATTGATTGGCAGGTTGTCATTATTTAACGAAGTGGGAAATGTTTTAATACAGTTCCTCTCTCTCTTCATCTCTCTCTTCTCTCTCTCTCTCCTCTCCTCTCCTCCTCTCTCTCTCTTTCTGTTTCTTTCTTTCTCTTTCTTCTTTCTCTCTCTTCCCCTTCTCTTTCTCTTCTCTTCTCTCTCTCTGCTCTCTACTCTCTCTCCTTTCTCTCTCTCCTCTTCTTTCTCTTTTCTTTTCTTTCTTTCTTTCTACTCTCTTCTCTTTTCCTTCTTCTCTCTCTCTCTCTCTCTCTCTCTCTCTCTTCTCTCTCTCCTCTCTCTCTCACTCTCTCTCTCTCTCTCTCTCTCTCCTCTCTCTCTCTCTCTCTCTCTCTCTCTCTCTCTCTCTCTCTTCTCTCTCTCTCTCTCTCTCTCTCTCTCTCTCTCTCTCTCTCTCTCTCTCTCTCTCTCTCTCTCTCTCTCTCTCTCTCTCTCTGTAGTATAACAGAGGATTTTGTTTTTATCTATTTTTTATTAGTTTTTTTTTTTTTTTTTTGGGGGGGGGTCGTGTTTTCTTCTTATTTTTATTTTTTTACATATACGGTTTCATCAAATGTCTTCCGCGCTATTATTTCAGAATCTATTTTATGTCACACGAGAGTTTATTTTCTTTATATATGAACATACAGCATATACATTACATAAAAGACAAAAAAAAATCATCTTGTAATATTCTACCTAAACCGAGCCCTATAAAACGCTGTTGCTCGTGTTTATCTAAAAAAAGAAAA